ATAGCCAAAATAATTAAAGCCCGTACACTACATCAGATTTTAATCAGATTGACTTATACTGAATGTTAAAATGAAAAGCGATGGTCTATTAGCCGCATGTCTGCATATGTGGCTTGCTGGTTATATTGTCTCAGAGTATGTACACTCGACACGCCAGACACTCACTTCCGAAAACACCTTTTTAATAAATTGTGCCCTCTAGTTGCACGTTACTCGTAGACGAGTGGAAATGGAATATGGCGAGAACATGTAATTTTTAGTATTGTTGTTTGATTTTGTATATTGACAGCTACAATGGACTGTCATTTATTATGAACTGAAAACTCTGTTCTTGTAGCACATCTGAGCATTCGTTCCATGAAAAAATGAACTGCTTTATTACGCATGTGCACTGTTTTTTTCGATACGTATAATAACAATCACTGCGCACGCGTATTAGTACTCCCCATTTTCATCTAACAAACACTGTTGCGTGTTCTGCAAACGCAAACTTTTCGTTAATGATGAATCAAAATCCGATTTGAGATATAATATGTAATGTCGTACAACAATTTTTAAAAATGTTTTCGTTCATAATGCATCTTTAAACGGTTGCATTCAAGTTGGCAACATCGACATTGATTTATTATATGGCCACCTAGCACCTGATAAGCGTTTGATAAACTACACAGGTGTATTACATTGATTTCACATCAACGCCACGGTATTGCAGTGTTCCTATACGACGATATTTGTTGGAAAGATGCGTTGTTTGTGCACGTTTTTGATAATAATAATAACTACAGTAGTTCCAGGGATAAAAAACTATAACCTTTATTTCACCTGACAAACTAATTATATTTACACCTTGAATTATTTAAATACAAATTTCGAATAATGAAAAAATACAATAATTGAAAAATCCGACCTGCGGAATTCAGGTCAACTGACTACAGTTAAAATGTCAAATATTTGTCAATAAATATAAATAAATGCTGGTTATTAAATAAACCATATCGCAATGTACTTCCGGGGCACGGCCATGGTGGGGTCACGGTGGTGGTGACGATTGATTGGTCAAACTACAAACACATGATTTACGTATATACTGTAATATGTGCAGACTGGAGTAAACAAATAATCATGTTGGCGGTGAAACCAACACTACACAGTCTGCTTGTGCCGATGTCCCGACAATTCGCATTTAGAAGCATTTTCGGTGAATTATACTTGGACCGGACTCGTCGTACTCCTGTTTGCTGACCCAACTCTGTTGGAAGGTTGAGAGAGAAGCCAATATGGAGCCACCGATCCAGACTGAGTATTTCCTCTCTGGAGGAGCAATGATTTTGATCTTCATCGTACTTGGCGCCAAATTCGTAATTTCTTTCTGCAGTCTGTCGGTAATACCGGGGAACATGCTGGAACCACCAGAGAGCACCGTGTTGCCATAGAGATCTCGACGTATGTCAATGTCACATTTCTGGATACTATTGTAAAGAGTCTCGTGAACTCCAGCATTTTCCATTCCTGAAAAAATAATATTAAATCGATATTAGTCTTAATTAATAAATATTATTATATCTTTCATTATTATTTTAGAGGGACGTATGTCACGTATTTCAGAATGACGTATGTCTTTTCAGTTATATCGTTCATGTATTCATCGGTATGTTCAATATTATGTGTCATAGAGAGTGACGGGTACATGACAAGTGTGCCTTACCTAATAATGCTGGTTGGAACAAACACTCTGAAGCTCGGAACCTCTCGTTGCCAATGGTGATGACTGCACCGTCTGGTAGTTCGTAACTTTTCTCCAATGAAGAACTTTTGGCAGCACATTGCATTTCCTGTTCGAAGTCCAAAGCGACGTAGCAAAGCTTTTCTTTGATGTCACGAACGATTTCTCTTTCGGCTGTAAATGAGTAAAATATTCCAGTCAGGAAATATCTGAGTGTGTCATAATAATCACCATTGACCGGTTTGGAATAACACTTCAATTCAACAGGTCAATTTGGGCCATTAGTTTTCCCGGAATTGGAAACTAGCTTTCGAAAAAATAAGGCGTGTCTATCGTATGTGCATTCAACACACGATACCTGATACGAACATTGCGTGAAACGTCGGGTTTTATCGAAAAATTGTGTGCTTTCCCGAGACGCTTCGTGCATTACCGAGACACTTCGTGTTTTGTCGAGACTCTCACCTGTGGTTGTGAAGGAGTATCCCCTTTCTGAAAGTATTCTGACTAAACAATCCGTGAGATCACGTCCTGCCAAGTCAACCCTCTCTATGGCGTGTGGCAATGAGTAACCTTCGTAAATAGGCACTATGTGTGATACTCCATCGCCGCTGTCAAGTACAACACCAGTTGTACGACCAGATGCATACAACGACAACACCGCCTGGATACTCACATACATGGCTGGTACGTTGAATGTCTCAAACATAATCTGAAAGTACAAAATCGATTTATAATGACATCATGTGTTTTCCGTAATTTTGGCGGGATTCAACAAGATGACGACTTTATACAAAGATATTTAATTTAACTTACCTGTGTCATTTTTTCTCTGTTCTGTTTCGGATTCAGTGGCGCTTCCGTTAAAAGTACTGGATGTTCTTCTGGGGCGACTCGCATCTCATTGTAGAAAGTATGGTGCCAAATCTTTTCCATATCGTCCCAGTTTGTTACCACTCCGTGTTCAATAGGATATCGGATGTTTAAAATACCTCTTTTGCTTTGTGCTTCGTCTCCAATAAAACTGTCTTTCTTACCCATTCCTTGCATTGCGACCTGGGACAGAATTGAGACACGTCATGAACAACATGCGTACCGTGATGCCAATTCGAAATACATATCATATGTATACCATTGTCATGATAACAACCGAAGTCCACACATGTAAACCCCAAACATAATATGTAATGAAATGTTAGCGGTGGCATGACATTTCTGCTTACCTGATACCGTGGTCTTCCAACGACGGAGGGGAAGACGGCACGTGGTGCGTCATCGCCAGCAAATCCAGCTTTACACATGCCGGAACCATTGTCCACTACCAAGGCGGCAACTTCATCGTCCATGGCGAACATCTTGTTTTAATTATATCTCAAGTCACTAAGAAGCTGAATGATTTCTGAAAAATAAGAACGAAGAAATTGTTATTGAATCCACGCGGAGTAGACAACGTGCGCAACCGATAAATAAATGAACTTACTTGGGTGTAAATAAAAAAAAAAAAACGATTTTACCTGACTTAATCTGGTAAGGTTATTCCGGCGTCTTCGTAAGATGAATACTTCTTTGCTCGGCTGTGGTCGGAGTATGTCTGCCGAATCCTCAGTAGCGATTCATTATATAGCCGTCAAGGGCTTTGTTGTTATATCATGATGTTAGTGTGAAGGTATGCACATTGATGATTCATCGCTGGTCTCTCCGATCCACTGGCGATGACTCTTATGAACCACAAACGATGACCATGTGCGTGTCGTAACGTTATATTTTCATCGATTCAGCAATTATTTACAAAACAGAGAACGCTGTAGGTTACATTATTCTGAAATTGATTTCCACAATTAACCATAATTGAAAAATAATTAAATAGTTTATGTTTATGGCATATATTATATTATCTGAACTTTAACTGAACAGTATCCAAATAATTACTTGAAGAATATAATAAGATTTATTTTTGTCTGTTGACCAGTAATCGACAGGACTAATAAATTTTAAAAATCAGAGTTATCAGTGTTATCAGTTCTGGTATTTTCAAAACAATTATCGTATGGTGTGAAGTATTGCATTTTGGAAATATCTGAAACAGTAATACATTTATTGAGCATGAATTTGTCGCGTATAATTTAATATTTGTGTTTATCAATTTATTACTGTTACACACGTTGCCAAATAAGGTAAGAGTTGGCGGCAATATGTCCAAATATGGAGAATAACATATTTCATGAGGAAGACTTCAAGTTCTTTCTCCCAGCAATAATACTACGTAGACAGATGATAAATATTCCGGCCATTACATTATTTTAACCAATTAAGGAAAAAAAAACATGCACGCTAAAGAATTCACCGATTTTGTTGATTACACACGTTTTATTAACAGGTGGTCATACGCTATATTTGGTTAACACGATCATATCATACACTGAGTCATCGGTAGTATGTACTTGTAACTAGGTCAAAGGTCAAACAACCGAGGCACACAATACTCATTCTCATTGTTCATTAAACAATAGAAAAGGGGGTATGTGCGTCAATGCACCGACAGTCCCTGTTGAGAGAAAACGAACGCGTTGTGCGGGAAGATAGTGGCTAATTTCAGTCGATTTGGTGAGAATTAGCACGGCAAGTTGGAAAGTGCAGTCTTCAAGTTATTTGCTACTGGCAAGTCGTTTACGTGCAGCACCATGAGGTTTCATATACATCGTACACTGGTCAGTTCCGTGGAAGTTAACTTGGTGTCGCTGCGAGGTCAGGGTAATATCAGTAATAGTACTGATCAAACACGTTACCACGTTAGTAACAACTAATACATAATATGACAAATCAGTTGGTTTGACCATGGAGGTAAAAAAAAAGGATGGTTTGACGGAGTACGCCGCTGGTGAGCGCAAGCATAAGCACTGTGCATGCACGTTCCTCGAGTTAAAACACGTGTATGAATATTAATAACAGCCTGACAGACTTCATTTTTAAATGTGAGACAGCTCAAATGTTCTATACTACTAAGAATATACGAATTTATACAAATTATTTCCATTAACACACTATCTGAAGGAATGTGGATATTGCGCTGTTTTGAGTTCAAGCCCATTTTACCGAAACACACGGGAGACACTGTGTATTTTCGTCTTGCGTAGATTAAACATACGCCATTATTAACAACAATGTAGTATTCAGCATGCTGCTAATACTCTGAACACACAAACAAGTCATTCATTGAACTTTCAATCAGTCTCAAAATACAAATATAACATATAAGTACTCGGTCCGACTTCGTCCCTCTTCGTTATGGTGACTTGCAAGGCGCTAGCTTGCTTTCCTTAGTATGAAAACAAATACCGCTGAGGGCGGCATAGCAAACTATACTGTATTCGCGCGACAGAAACTGGAAATCGAGTATACAATACACTCAAAGTATAACCTTTTATACGTGACTTATGTGTGTAAATTGTGAAAGTTTATGTTGAAGAGTGAATGGAAGAGAATGTTATAAAGTGAATATAAGTCACTCATCATTTTGGAGTTTGCAACAGTTAACTAGAAATATGAATATTGATTGATTGATTTTAAATGTCGAAGAATACTACTGCATGTATACAAAGCGGTGTTGGTTGGTTCAGTTAGTTGTTTTGGGAATTATTTCAACTAACTGGCTTAGCAGTGAATGGCTTGGATTGTCTGCTCAGATGTATTGGAAACACCATGGAACAGAGGGGCATTGTGGGAGCATAGCCCGAAACATCTCCCCGATGTCTCCTTCGCTGTGTTAGCTACTGACACACTGGCTGCTTTAATTTAATTTGAAGTACCAGGCAAGGTAAAAATAATTTCCTTATCAACAATTCTTTCTCCTATTTCCACACTGACCATGCAGAAGCCAGAACCACACCTGTTGTCGACTTTACTGCCTAAAATACACTTACAAAAACTCATTGGAAGATTCAGGCCAGCTGCTTTTAACTTTACAGCCGGGAATTATGGCCAGTAAAACCGCCACTCATGAATGAAAGAGATCACCAGCAGTCGCTGATTGGCTACTTGCGCCGTCAATCATTTGGCCGGTGGATAATTGGATTATTTATCGTTACGAACGACATACCAACGTATGCCGAATCACAGGAGGAACTGTGGCCGAATACACTCTACTTACGTAATGGTATCACATCCTAAACCGTAGAAGAAGATAATAACTAAAACAATACTTTAAAAGCATTAATTATTCACAGGATTTTAGTTTCACTTTTTTCATTGATAAGTCAAATTATCTAAATTAAATCCACGTGAATATATGGAATGAATTTTTGTTCCCCTGCCAAATTCTTCAACGTGAATCCCAGTGTATATTCTCAAAATAGTGAAATTAAATGGTTTGACAATAATAGGAAGCAACTTCAAACACGTTTGATAGGCAGGTATCGCATTCCACATTACCGCTTAAGAAGTACCAGAGAAAGTAGTCTAAACTGATATCGCGTGTTCGTTTAAAGTGTCAACACAATATCAAAACATATTAAGCCGGCTGCACCCCACCAATAGCAGACATTCTTTTGAAAGATTCAAAGTTATTATCTCAAGATAAATTAACATAATGTATGTAAATGAAATATTGATTGGTTTTCACAATATGCTTGGTCGGCTTCCTAACACACAACGGCCAGACCAATCAGTGAACAACTTTGTTGACAGGTTTTTTTTTTCGACGTGGCAAATTATGCCTTATATAGTATTTGGTTTATTCCAACTGCGAATCCAGGCTCCAATACAATTGTTTAGTAACCACCTTACATACATACACATTATGCCTTGTATATATATATGCTTTGAGTTTGACTCAACTGCGAATTACCACGTTTTCTAGTACTAGTAGCTGTAGCAGCATG